TGTAAGATAATAAATTTGTGTTATTCAAGCTGCTAAATTTGTGGAATTTATTATGACAGTGATAGAAAAGTAGCCCAGAAAGCTATGTTTCTTCTTAAAGTGACAAATTAAATATAAACATTTATTTCTGTGGCTTCCTGAAACTACTAAAACAATAGTAGAGGGATTTTAAGGCACAGTAGAGCAAAGAAGTCAGGAAAGGAGGTAATAGCAAAAAGATCTTATTGAAAGCCTGTTTAAAAAGCAACCCCCCAAGAAATTTTCCTTTGTTCTAATCAACTCAGCTTGTTGATTGCTTCTCTCACATCCTGACAGAAAACCGAAAGTTTATTTTTAGATGAAATACATTGGATAAATATTTTATATTTATTTAGAATAATGGACCCTAAGCACAATTGAATATGAGGACATTTTTCTGAAAACTGGGGATAGTGATTGTCTTTTCCTGAGCCCACTCTGCTCTCAGAACATTGATGCCCAGTAACCTACTCTGCATAGCCTGCAAGAAGGTGATCAAAAGAATCTTATCTGGGCAATGTTACTGGCCTTAAAGAAGAAACCTGAGGATACTAGACGTCAGGTAAATAGTTCGACCATGTCACTCACCAGTGAAGACCATGGTTCCCCTTACCCCATACATTCACACAGAAACTCAATGATCTTTATAATTTCCCCATTATTAAATATGAGCAAAGACCTAACAATCACCAGATATATGAGAAAATCATTTAATATAAAATATAGACCCCCAAATCATACATATAAAGACATACGTATAAAAAGATACAGGTATAATGCAGGGAGAAGATGGATTTAAAACATACCATCATTAATAACTTGAGAGAGCTAAAAGTATGCATTTATAAAACAAGAAAAGGACTTAAAAAAAAACATTTGGAGGGTACTAAGAAGTTCCTGACAACTAAAACTAGAAGAGCAAAAATGAAAATCTTTGAAGATAAATGACATAAAATGAAATAAATGGATGATAATCAGTCATAGAGGACTAAGTCAAGAAACATGCCAAGAAAGTTGAGAAGAAAATGCAAAGAGATAAATAAAAGAGGAACTAGCATAGTAGGGAATCAGTCCAAGAAGTCCAATGTCCAAATAATGAAAATTCCAGAAAGAAGGAATAGGGGAAAATAGAGAGAAGTAAATACAAAAATAATAAGAAAATATTCTTTGAGGACATGAGGGCCCAGACTAAAAAGTCCCAGCAAAAAAGATTAAAATAGACCCACACTTAGGCAGATAATCTTGAAATTTTAGAATACTGGGGAAGAATAGAATATCTTAAGAGCTTTAAGGAGAAAAACTAGTTTCATACAAGGGATTAAAATTCAGAATGACACCAGACATCTTAATAGCAATACTGGAAACTAGGGGGAAAAAAGCAAAAATGTCACTGAAATTCAGGAGAAAAATAATTTCTACAATTGGCCAATTAATTACCAGGGAAAGATTAATTTATTTTAAGATAAATTGAGCAAGTTGTCAAAAAGTTTGCCACTGTATTTTCTTTCTCAGAAACTCCTGAAAAATTTGCTTCATCAATAGGCAGAGTAAACCCAGGAAGAAACAACAACAACAACAACAACAATAACAAAGAACATGTTCCATGGAACAGGGTTATTACACCAAGAGCTAGAACAGAATCCCCAGGATGATGAACTGGGGGAGATCTCAAGACAACAGCTGTGCAGCAGACTTAGAGAACTTTACAGAGCAGAGCAGGTCAGAATGCCTTGGTAGAGATTTATTTAAGAAGGCAAAATTGATAGAGTATCTAATGAACTTGACAAATTAGCAAGAACGTGTTTACATAATTGGGAAAGACTCAATGGCTGAATTAGTGATAAAGATATACATAAATGAGCAAAGAAAAAAACAAGACAATTATCAACTCTTAGGGGGAGAAGCTGTGAAGGGTGAGAAAACTGTCAGAACACATGGGGCTCAGCTGTGGTAGAACTTAATGAAAACACTGATAATTAACCTGTTAAAAAATATGGTATAACTATATTGGAAATTTAACTGTGGTAGAGTGAATGTAGTAGATGTATAGTGGGTAGCAAGGTTTCAAATAGAGATAAATCTTCATATACCAGAGTGGAAATCAAACAGATAATGCATGAAAATGGAAAACTAAGAAGAAGCAAAATAAGCTTAATTAGAAATTTGCATGCGAATGACATCAGATTCACTCAGAAAGATTGAAAGTCTTTCTCTAGGGAGAAAACAAGGAGAGAGTAGGTAGAGTGGGGAAAACTATTTAACATGCCTTGAAGAAACTGCAACTGACTCTTTAACTATGTGTGTGTATGACTTTCTACTATATATATGTGTGTGTAGGTGTGATACACACACACATATATATGGAACAATGTCTTTGAAATTCAGAAGGAAAATAATCTCATACAAGGAATGTGAGTGTGTCTGTGTGTATTTGTGTGTATGAATTCTTACTCACATCTTAAGGAGAATTAGACTTGAGTGTAAGCCCTAATTTGAGGAACTGATGTTTTAACACCCATGATAGGAAAGATGCAGACACTTGTGAATCAGGAAACTAGAATTGATGTCCCTGCATAACTCTAGGGCCCTGTAAAGTCATATCAAGGACCAAACTTTCCACCTATGGCCCTGTGACGAGGAAGCTTGGCTGTGCATCTGGCTATGGACAGAGCAAAAGGTATCCTGGGAGAAGCTGAAACGCCAAACCAAAGCATCAGGCAGTTATGAATATCTATTCCAAATATTCTGAGAGAAGAAATTTTTGTTACATGGTTCCTGACTAGTAGAATCACGGTGAAACTGATGAATACCCAGGTAAAAGAGAATATACAAATACCCTCTACCACAAAACACAGGAAGTAAACATATAGTATGCTTTCTATCAACAAAAAAGTCCAGAAGACAATGGTAAAAAGAAAAAAAATATATTTCAGATCTCAGATGATCAAGAGCTGAGACATTTTCTGCCACTTAATTATTTACTTAATGAAGATAAAAGAAAAAAAAAAGAAGGAGCAGACTGCAAGAAGCTGTGGTGATCAAAGAATCAGTAAATACAGGGCACTGCTTGGGAGCACGGTGGCCCTCCCGCTGAGGGGCGCCCGGTGGCGCACTGCTACAGTGCACTGCTTGGGAGCACGGTGGCCCTCCCGCTGAGGGTTCGGATCCCACATACAGACCGGTTCCCGCTCACGAGGTGCGGGCGCGACACTGAGGGTTGTGATCCGTTGCCAGACACAAAAAAAAGACAAAAAGGAAAAATAAGAATCAGTAAATACATACGTAATTATAAAAATTCATTGACTTAAAAATAACAAATAATTTTATTAAAACATTAAAAAAGTATAATACTATGCAAAAATAATATGAAAAACAGAAGATATAGCTGAATTTAAAATGCTCTAAGATCCTTGTGTTGTTTAAAAGGAGGGTAGAGATATTAATTACCTTTAAATTTTATTAGGTGATGTGTGCAAGTTTACATTTTATGGGTTACTATAATAACACAAACGATTCGTTTAAAAAAGCACAAATAAAGCAGTACAAAATCCAAAATAGAAAAACCCAATGCAAAACTATTATTAAGTTTGCATATGTATAATTTACTTATATTAATATTAAATGTGTATTCATAAAATATAAATATATTTTACCTATAATATATGCAATATATACTTATATGTAAATAAATATATATTTATTAATAAAAATATATTTATATATTATAGGTAAAATATATTTATATTTGTTTATTTATATTTATATACATATATGTTTATATGTATACACACACACAAAAATGTGCATGCATGCATGAGAGGCATATGCACAAACTTCCAGATAGTGGTGACTTCTGATGAGAACGGGATGGAAACGGAATGCTGTAGCATTTGGAAGAGAGAAAGTGGCTGTTTTAGCTATTTCTATCACACTTTATTTCTTTAAAACTATGTGAAGCAAATATAGCAAAAAGTTCCTGTATCTTTTTTTTTTTTCTTTTTTTAATCCTTGGGTTTGATGTACCTGGGTATGAGGCTCTTTTCTGCTTATTTGAAACATTTTATAATTATTTTTTCAAATATCCAGTGGACTCCTGATTTTTTGGCTTCCTTTCATTTTACCTTTTTACCATGCATGTATTTCTCTGTGCATCACTTAAAGTTTCCACCTTCCTCCATATATCCTTCTTCATTTATTCTTCTTTCCTACTTATTTTTTTTTCTTTAACCAACAGACCATCTATTCCTTATACTCCTATCACTTTCCACCCACTACTTCAAATCACAGCAAGAAGAAATTCAAGTTTCAATGCACAAGACATCCTGCAGGTTTGAAACAATTGCACACAGTCACTGAATATTTTCATGCATGCATACCAATTGTCTGGGATATACAGTTGTTAAAACAAACAAACAAACAAACAAACAAAACACCAACTCTACTAAATAATGAGGACCATCCTCTCTGAACCTAACTGGGTCAGAAGCTGCAGCAACTTAGCTTTTTCAATTAAGTCTGTGAGGTGCCTGGGAGTTGGTCACATTACACATCACGGATTTCATCTGATCCAAGATTAGGAACACTTATTTTTCTATGAAACACTTTCAGGTGAAGCAAGTGAACACTTTATTATAAGATGGTTCCATATTTAAATAAAATTAGGAAAACTATGTATTTGTCTTCTTTACTTACTGTACCTTTTAAAACACTGTTTCAGTAAAAGGTAAGAAGGTCATGAATCTTCTTCCAAGAAACGCAGGTCTCCCATAATCTGTGTTATTAAATTCAGGTTCCATACTGCCAAATCATCTCACCAATAAGAAGCCAAAACAAAAGTAATTCTCAAGGAATGACTTGTGATGGATTAAATCATTGTATTTCAGGTGTTGAGTATTATAATGAACAAATTGAATCAAAGAATGTTAATAATTAACTGTTGGAAAGTGAAAAAATGATGAGCACACTGTAAAAGTTAAACCCAATCATGTTTCAAAAGTTTAATATAGTTTTTATAAAACTAAACTTGCGGTATTGAATACAAGAGTTTGTATCTTTGCAACCTAAATAATCTTGTACATTTAAATAAATATTGATTGCATGCTGTAAAAATGCAATTCGTTTGGCACTAACTTGAATATGTACAATGTAATTCAAGCATAAATTCTGAAGTAGAGCTCACAGACCTGCTGTGTAGTCAAGCTGAACCCTCTTCCTGGTATGGAATGGCAGAAATTTTCATGATACAAATAGAATGTAAGTCAGCTTCCCTATAACCTCAGTCTTCCTCTAATAGAATTAATGCATTATGAACTGGTCCTATTCAGACAAAAAAGTTCTTGAGTCCTGAGACAACTGAATACTTTTCATAGTATTTAAAGCCATACAACAGCATTAAGAAGATTTTTTTTTCATTAATAATTAATGATAAAATATCCTTATTTTTCATTTGGTATATATTTACAAAAGTGTATTCACATATTGCTGAAAAGGATAAATATTTAAATAGAAGATAAGCATTATCAAAATAACTGTATTTCTTTTATTTACATCATTTTGATAAATAGAATGAAATATTTTACTACAACAGGAGCTACACTATGAAAATCCTATAAAAAGGGACTAGTTTCCAGTTTTTAAGTAGAGTTAATCAGTCCAATCATCACATTATGTTTTCCTTTCCAATAGCCACCACATTAGTGGGCTGAAAATTATCTTGGCCTAAATTGAATTCTACTCTCTTTGATTTGAGCTCTTACAACTTTCTGAAATGGAAATACCAGAAGTTTGTTTTTTACACACTCAAAAAAATGCATAACGTTTTACTGCTGAGAGACATGTCATATACAGATTAAACAAACATTACATGGAATCATTTTAATAAGAAGTCCTTCAGTCTAAAATATATGAAACTGAGATGATTTTGCTTGGAATGATCAGTGTCAAAGAAAATCAGCAAAAGGAGAAGAAAACAATTCTTTATTTTTATCCAAATATATTAGACTTCATAATTTAGTTATTTTCAACAAAAACTTCACCATGTATCATCCAAACCAGGACACTATAAGAGTGAAAGGGAGTGCTACTAATAATTACACAGGAACAACAGATAGAAATGAATTTTCCTGGGTATACTGGGACCTATCAGGAACCTAGAAAGAGGGGTTAAACTGCAATTACATGCAGAAATCATACCTTTCCCACACGCATGTGGAAAACATAAAAGAATACCATTCACTCAGATAAATTAATTTTGGCAATTGTAGCTCTTTCTCATCATTCAGGTTTCTGTTTAAAAATATTATCCCTTCCTGAAGGCAGCTATCTCTTCCAAAATAATCAATTCTTACTCCACACATTCATTTTCCATCATGCTACCCTGTTTTTATTCTCTTAATATATATTTGACTACCTAAAATTGTCTCATTTGGTTTTTGTCTGTCTCCTCCTCACTGACATGCAGTGTTCATGGTGAGCAGTGACTTCCTCTGACTTAGTTACATCCAACTCCCCAGGAACTAAAAAATGCTTAGGACATAGAAGGCATGCAAAATTTTGTGGAATGGATTAATACATTTGGAGAGTTTGTTTTGGGTTCCACCTTCTCCTTGGTACCAAAGACAAATTAAAATGACTCTCCAAAGTAAATTATGGCTCTATTTAGTTTTAAGTTGTTGGACTAAATGATCTCTACACTTTCTTCCACTGCAAATAAATATACCATGACCTTTGGACCCTGTTCTCTCTGTCACTATTTTGTTTATATCCAGCCAATAAAAAAGTTTGGTGACCAATGATTAGGGCAACCCACTCTATTCACAGTGGATGAATGCTCAAGGTAGACCATTTTGTCAGTAATAATTCCCTGGTATATATTTGCACCTACAGAATTTGGTTGATACAGAGGTAGCCAGAAGGTATTATTGTAGTTAATAATGGAATCGTTGATGTAATAATTTGCCAATAATTAAATTATCACAGAATTGCTAAAGAATAGGAAGCAATGGGTGCTCAAATCAGCCATTAAAAATTTACATATTAATGAAAAGTGGATTAATTCTGAGCAGACTTATATTGCAATGCCCTAAGAAATATTATAGGAAAACCCATGATATTCTGATAAGGAGCACTTCTAAATTTTCATAAAAATCTGTGCTTTCCAAATCTTTATTTTGAAAGGGTTCTATTGATCAATAGTTTTGATTCCCACTAAAGAGTCATAAATATCAGACATTGGGGTTAGAAAACAGTACTGCTAAAATTATTTGGGTAGGCCAGGGATCCAAGACACCAGTAAAACTATGAAAGATATCTTCAATTCATCTAATTTTAATTTCTCTCAGTTCTGTACAAAACATTACTCCTGAACTATGAGTGACAGGCATGGAATAGTTTCCCCAGGTGAGAAAAAATCTATCCTGTTACAACAAATATCATAAATAAGAAAAAACAGCATAAAAGAGACTCAATTAGACATACATATTTTAAGCATAAATATTTATCATCTGTTTCACTGCATTGTGTGTCTCTTTAAAGATAAATTATTGTTTTTAAAATGAATAGAAAGTTCCAGAAAAAGAGTGAAAATGTTTCCAACTGACTCAGTTTGAAACAGGGACCATTAATTATGTATTTTCATACAGATTTTGATATATTTAATAAAACTTGGCTACTATTACAATGATTCAGCATTTGTTCAGAGCTCATATCTGTATTAGATCATATACAGAACAGATTTCCAGATTTTAATTAGTCCAGGAATAGACCAATTCTCAAATTAATTAACATTTATTCCCCCCAGTACTAGCAATTTTTAAAAATCATAAGAAAAGTTCAATGATATACCATATACTGGTATGCTCTAAAATTTACAAGTTAAATATATAATGGTTATATTTTTGCAGGGCCATAAATAGCACAAACTTGTGTGACTCTTTCATATAAAGTACAATTGAAAACCTTGCAGGACCTTAAACAGTAGAAAACATTAAATCAGATTTGATTTTAAAATGACAAATAATTTAAGGCTAAAATATTTGGTATTAATAATTAATGCCAGTAGCCTTCCTAGTCTAATAAAGTAAACATGCACAAGAACTACAACTTAGAACAAAACATCACAATTTTATCAGATATATATGTATGTATGTATGTGTGTGTATATGTGTGTGCATGTATGTGTATATGTATTCATACATATACATATGTATGTAGTTTTGTCGCCCTGAAAGCTATCCACTCATTTGGCTTAATACATATGTTAGAAATGTTGGGAGAGTACCTCCCCTTTAAATATATATATATATTTTTTTCCAGAATATACAATATAAATATGTCATATATAAATCATGCCATAAAACTAAATGCAAAATTTGCACATTATTGCATGCTTGATGTGATAATACATGCCCATTAATTACTTCCTTATAATGTCCTCCCTTCATAACTTTTGCTTTCGGTAAAGTAGCAATAACCGGGAAGGAAGGACTCTCAAGTATGCTTACAGGACTGGGGGCAAAATGTACCTTTCAGATTCCTTAGGGAGGAATACCTCAACAGCCAAATATTGGACAATTACTAAATCAAACATTAAATAATGCCTAAGGAGGTGTTTTGCTATGTGAAGCGATCAGAGTTCATTTTTCTTAATTTGGCTGGAAGATTCCCTTCCATCCTAGCCGCTCCTCCAGCCATCTTTTGAAGCTTTGGTGGCAAATCAGCCACAGACTGGCTCATAGGATCAGATAACATCTTGGTTGCTTTAGATACCAGTTTTTCTTCTGAGTTGCCAGGAACTGAACTTATTCGTTGAAGTTTCATGGGTAAATCTCCCAAGCTGTAGGCTTTTTCTGAAGTTGTAGAACTCATTCTCAAGAGTTTTTTGGGAAAGTCTTCTCTTCCAGTAATTTTCTGAAGCTTAGATGGCAGTTTTGTAGTAATGTCATCTAGTCCATCTAAGCATTCCACAGAATTATGTCTTTCTTTGCTGTTAGTTATGGCTGGTGCTATTAACGGGGATGACATGAGAAGCATTTCCTCCTGCTCTTTCACACTGTAAGGTGGGGTGGGGACTTCAAATGTTGCATGGAACTGGGAGTAATCAACTTTAAAGAATCCTTCTTCTAAAGAAATTACAGGAAAAAAACGATGACCCCAAAGAACTTCATCTTCAGTGTATGATGTTCGAGCTTGGCAAGTCATCCCTATAAGCAAAAAGAAAATGCTTGATAAATTATGCATAGTGGGAGCACAGGGAAAGCTAGTTTGACCTAAAAAATTCATTTTCTTTTTTACGTAAGTTTTGGACTGTTTATCTGAATAAACTGAGTAATAGATCAGGTTATGAGTTTTACTATAAGTTAACAGCTTTGATAAATATAATTTCTTCCAGTGAAAAACACTGGTGCTGATACTGTTCATGTTTGAAGGGTCATACATCATAACATAATTGATTGTTTATTTTTCATAAACCAAAAGTAAAAACAACAGAATAATTTCAGAATAGATGTACCTTTGTAAGGAGATAGTGGAGAAATCATATAATCACTTTCCATCATTTGAGAAGCAATGTGACATATAAAACAAACCTGACTTTTAATCCAAACTTTACCACTGTGTAAATTTCAGAAAGATACTTAACTGAGTATCATTTTCCTCTTCTGTAAAGCCTAGAAAACACCAGTCTCATAGGATTGCTATGAACATGAAATAAAATTACATATACAGAAATGCAAAATGTGCCATACAATGTCCACAGATAGTTGGCTTTCAACAACTTAGAGCTCACTTTTTTCTCTTCACACAGTGAAGGCTTGCAGTGGGAGGTAAGAGGACCAGAGACAACTCTGCCAAGTATTTGCTAAATGAATAAAAGGTGAAATATTTCTGTGTTGGATAATGAAAAGTCACTTTGGTGGTTCTATCCTTTTGGATCTGTAAGGTCAGGATGAACTTTTGCTCAAATTTTAGAAATCCATATGCTAAAATCAGTAATGAGGGCCATGTGATGTGTCCATGTCCATTCCTGCTCTAGGAATATCTGGAACTAGATGCTGGATATCAAATGTTAATATTTTGCTCTTTACATATATGATGTTGCTTGGATATCATTTACCTCATGGTACTCTGATTTATTCAATTTTGTTCCTTTCATAAAACAATCATTTATAGTGAGTTTCTATCAATTCAGTCAACCTCTAAATATTCGTTTTATGAAGACTGGAAGTAGATGAGTAAATTAAAACCATATATCAAGTTTCAGTCTTATAGGAGCATTATTCAAAAGATGTAATTTTTTTTTTTTTTTGTCTTTTGTCTTTTTTCCGTGTCCGGCAATGGATCGCAACCCTCAGTGTTGCCCCCGTACCGGACCGGGGACCGGCAACGGGATCGGGGACCGGCAACGGGATCGCAAGCCTCGGTGTTGCTCCCGCGCCTCGCTCAGCCAGTGAGCGGGAGCCGGTCTGTATGTGGGATCCGAACCCTCGGACGGGAGCGCCGCCGCGCTTCCCAAGCGGCGCACTATCCAGTGCACCACTGGGCCGGCCCTGTAATTTTCTTTAAGTAGTAAAATTCACTGATTTCCTCTACCTTTACTATCAGACTTCTATTAAAGGCTATTAAAATGTAAAATAATGAATGAATTAAAAAATCATCCCTTTAATAATTATGATTTAAACAAGTAATTACAGTCTTTCTTCATTCATTTCAATTCTCCCCTGTCATGCTGTAAGTAATTTCTATTGTTTTTAATCCTGGATAAAAAGGGATAGTCTGCCTTTTTTTCCCCCTAACTATTAAGCACACATAAAATAGTTACAGAGAATTAGGATAAAATGTATAATTAAAAAGCCACATTGAAGATAAATTAAATCGTTCATAGAATCCTTCCAAATCTTGCCTTATGAATATTATCAGTTATACAGGGGAACTTCAAAAAGTTCATGGAAAAATTCATATTATTTTTCAATTCTATTTTTCCATGAACTTTTTGAAATATTCTCGTATATCACCAGGAAACTAGTTTTTATCACTATATTCTATTTTTCTCAAGGCATTTTTTTAAAGAAACTTATGTAGAAAACAAATTCCTATCATACAGCAGGCATTGTGTTAGGTGCTCTCTCTCTTTCTCTATTATTTTCTAATCCTCAATCTAGTCCTGTTAAGAAGATCTTCTTATGACCATTTTAAAGATAAAGAATCTAGTGCTTAGAGAGGTTAAGTCTCTTGACCATTTTGGGCACAGATGTAGTAGGCTGTAAGCTGTAGAGAAAAGATTCTAGTATTTTGTGATTTCTCTATGTGTGTGTGGCTTTTTTTTTTTAACTTTGCCATAATGCCTCTATTATTTTAATTAGGAACTTGATTCCAAACAATTTATTACTTTAACTCTGTCATGGTGTAAATATGACAGTGACCAAATATCAGCATTCATAATCAATATTACATTAGGAATAGCCTCCAGGTGGGGGAAAAATATATGTATATTTTCTCATATATATATGAGATAATGAAATGAGTTTAAAAAATAGTTTGTAAGTTTTATAGACACACACACAGCAGCATCTTGTATTTTCTGATAATTTTCTAGCCTGTGAGTAAATGTCTCATTAGAAAAAATTCTAGATTATTACCCAATCAGAAAAGATATAAAATCTATTTCCTGATATATTACTTGATTTTACTTAGAAAAATTGAGAGAAACAGAAAAGTGCCTAGAATAAAGAACAAATACCTGATGTTTGTGTTTGTATCCATTAAGATATGAAATAATTTTTAAAATGTTGAAGTACTCTCTAATTTCTCCCTGAAATTAACCATGCTCATAAATTCTCTACGTATCTTTCCAGTTCAGAACATTAATTTAAATTTAAGAAAAAAGGTTATAAATGTATTTTTACTGTTAAGTGATAGTACTTTCCTTATAACCTATTTTAATTTTAAAAACTTCATTGAAAATTGAGCATTCTCTGAAATAAGGGGATGTACTCGATACAATTCAGTGTTTTGAAATGTAAGGTAGATTTCTAGGTTTGTCCTTTGATCAATATAAATGCATGTATACACTGAGTTAAAGTAAAGTCAGGGGCTGGCCAGTTAGCTCAGTTGATTCGAGTGTAGTCCTGATAACACCAAGGTCCAGTGTCTGATCCCTGTACTGGCCAGATGCCAAAACAAACAAACAAACAAACAAACAAAAAAAAAACTGAATTCAGATGATGAACTGTGTTCGTTTATTTCTAACACCAACAAATACTGAAACAAAATTTGATGATTATGACCACCTTAGTCCATTTCATTTTGGTAACATTTTAAATATATTTATTAGAAAAATAATATGAAGTTAGACATAAAAATTCTGGCCTGGATATTTACCATTACAATATACCACACTGATGATCCTCAGTGCCTACCTTGAGTTGTTTCCTATAGGGTTTTCAGAAGTCATGGAGAAGTACTAGAAGGATTTAAAGGAAGGGAAAAAATGGGGGAGATAAAATCTTAAAAAATGTTTACTCTGGGGAAACAGGCCATTGATTATTAAGGTGCTCAGGTGCTTTGACATCTATAGTGGGAACAGATATTCAAGTGTTTGTTTGCATTAAAATATCTGTAAGTATTGTTATTGAAATGCCAGTCCATGATTTTGACTAAAAAGGAAGGTGGAGATTCTATTCTACTACGTAAAATAAACTTTACTTCTATCTACTGCAAACTGATATAATGTGAGGCAACATCTTTATATAACTGAAAAGTATATGAATTTGGCTGCCAATTCCACTACTAAATACGTAGCTCATGAAAATTACCTAAAGCTGTCTGAGCCTGTTTTCTCTTTTATAAGCTAGATATAACAACACCCTCTAAACCTTTCAAGAGTTTAAAAGTCAAGGGCACAAAACTGTGCTCAGTGATGAGGCCAAACTCAAAAAGGACAGCTGTTTTTATCATTCTGTAATGGTCATTTACATTTCCTTTTCTTCCTGAAAATTAGTGTTAATGCAGTAATATAGGTGGGGAATTTTGACATATTAGTAATTTGTCCCATATTAGCAATACAGAAAATTAAATTAAATCACTGATATCAATTAAATATTCAAAATGTTTAAAAATATATTTTAAAAAGTTGCATTACTCATATTCACAACTTTCAGAGTTTCTAAACATTTTCCATCTAAGTACCCCTAATAGCAGGGGAGACTAAGTATGAGAACTTGAGGTGTATAAAAGGCTTGCAGCAAGCCAAACAGCTAAAATCATTTAAAATACAGTACCGTGTTAATTGCACTAAGAACATTTGTCAGCATTTTACCTTTGTTCTTCTGCTGTTCCTTTCACACTTTTCAATACGTTTTGGTACACAAATATCAAACACTTCCAGTTCACAGCCACCAGAGTTTTAAAATCTGTTTTTTATTAATTTGCAATCAGTATAAGAATAATGATATGGAAACTTTACAAATTGGGTAACTGGAAAATGTCTATGATTGTCAATCTGCGGTTTAGACAAAGAACCTATTTCTTTTTGCAAAAGTTATCCCAAAATGGTGTTGAAATGCAAATTTCAAATAAGAAGTTTTAAAGTAGATATAATTATGTTTTCTAAGAACATGTGTGTATCATAGCATTCTTCTAGAATGCTTTATTTTATATTTCTTACTCTAATTTAAATTGTTTTAAAATAAGCAATGCATAGATTCACAATTGTGCCATTTGAATTAAAATAAATGCAGGTGAATACCATTATTCAAAGGGTATTATGTGATTGCACCTCTTAGCTGTCAATACAACTGTTTGCATGTTTTAACTGGATTCCAGACTTGAACAAATGTGGTGAAAATCAACACGAGCTCATCTCTGTGGAAACTGGAGAAGCAACAGATGCTGCTACTGGAAATAGCTGGGACTTCTGAATCCTCAGATGAAAAACATTTTGTGAAAAAGATTTATTCTGTGCCTTGATTCATGGATTTAAAAGGATATATATTATTGTTCAAAGTCATTTATTCCAGCATAATTATATATGTTTAAAATGGTAAAAGCAATGTGGTCTAACCTCTTTATTACTGACATTTCCCTTTCCAGGTTCTGCCTTTACACCGCACTAACTTTATCTCTTTAACTGAATTGAATGTTCATTCAAAAACAGGTCTGAAAGCTTTTAAAGTGAGAATAACAAAGTGAGTTGTTATTTGACAAG